AACTGTGTCCCCAGAAGGCCCAGGCCTATAGTATCAAAGAGTGACCTTCCTGGGCTTGACACTGGAATAGAGGCTCCTACAACCCGCTCCCCACCACCTTCCTGAGAAGTCACTGCAGGATGAGCAGGGGCAGTGTGTGCCCCTCCACTGCAACACACCGGCCACCAGACTACGGGACCACCACATCAGAGGGCCGCAGCAGCAATAGCTAAAAACATGGCGTCCTGGGAAGGCTTGTGTTTTCTTCTCGAGACAATAGTGACCAGACCCTACGGTCTACATAAGCCCCTGGGCTTCTTGGGATTATCTTGATAGGATAGAACCTGGAAAGGAAAGAAATATTCTATTATGAGCATGCACAATGGTGATTTGGAGTCATTAAAATTTAATAATAGACAGAATTGCCACTGTTATGTGCATATGAGTTACAGATACACACCTTTACTTTCACATGTGTTTTAGAGAAGGAATCAAGTCGATATAATCAGTACATGCTCTGAGTTCAGAGGAAGGAGAGAAGATAGAATAGGGGTGTTCAAGGCAGGTTTTACAGGAAAAGGACTATAGCAAATCCTTGAGGACTCCTTGATTTCTCTCTCCTAAGGCAAACAAGTTAGGATATTTTGAGCATGTACCTGAACAAGTTGTCTTGAATTATTCTCATGCGTATAAGGCCCATGCTAGCCTAGAGACAAGCCACTTGTCTTAATACTTTTAGTATGCAGTGGGTGGTACTTATTCTAATAACTAAATATCACTCTAAACATTGAAAGCCTCCCTTCTCAGAGTTTCCCAGGCACAATATCTACCCATGAAGGGTCAAAGCAAGTGAAAGCAGAAAGAGAGTATCTTACAGACAAGCGGTCAAATGAAGAGCTATGAGGATAGCGCAAGAGGACGGGGTAAAAATAGTATTCAGCCCAGTTTTAGACCTGGTGCAACTTTCCCCATAGAAAACCATGAACTAGCCGGGCTCATTTTCACATTTCAACTCCTCCCCCTTTATTCCTCTCATCCCCAGCCAGCCCTCCTGGCTGGAAGCCTTCATTTAGTTTCCTGGTCTCATTCCTGCCCTGACCAAATAATTTATATGCGTAGCCCATTAGAGAAATTTTCTGAAATATGTCTGTGAATCCCCTTGAGTAGATGACTAACTTTCATGATTTCATAGTAATGACCTTAGTTATGTTCCCAGAAAGAACATATGTAGCATTCCTTACCACTTTAATACAAGGTACCCCCAAATAAACATGGAAGCTAAGTAAAAGCAAAACACTTGCTATACAAATGTGGTTTCCAACTAGATTGCCATCCCCAAGCTTCTCCTGCACGGAAATCAGGAAGCTGTAACACTCATCTACGATGGTGTGTACATGCTGAAGAAATGTGGCCTGCATTACCCCTCACAGAAGTCCCTGGAGGCTGGAATATGAAAACAACAGTTCCACGGCCTTTTCTCAAGCAGTAGTTCCTACCTTTTGAGAATCTGATGAAAGTTAAGGTTTCCTCTTCCCACCGATATAAACACAAAATTTTGCAAACAATTTCCAGAGGCTCCTTGACCTCGGAAACATATTTATAGAACCCTGGGGGTCTATAGATGCCAAGATACTCTCCCCTGAGACCATGGGAAAAAGCCAGAGGAGGAGGGGGCATCAGAGCTTTTAAATACCTGGGCTCGGATGGGCCCTGGGTAAAAATATGGAACAGTTTGCTTTTTCATTCTCCCTTCTTTCCTCTATCATCCCCCTTTTCTCTTTCTCCTTCCTTGAGAATAAATCCTATATCTTAGTGTTGCTCTTTACCTGGATAGAACTAGTTGCTGTTGGGGCTTAAGTGTGACCACTTTGAGACAGAATACAGTCAGTTCTGCTAAAATGCAATATATGCATTCCTAAAAATTACCAACTATGCAAAATGACACAGTAAAAACCACAGGGCTTATGGGGAAAATGGGGTTGGGGCGCAACACTCAAAAAACTTCATGACACATAAAAAAAGAAGATATGAACCTAATAAAAGAAAGATATACTTTACACGAGCTAAATGGTTACAAAATAAGTTAATACTACAGTAAGTCTGGCCCCATACCTAGAAAAAGATCTGACGTTTTGCTCATGGAGGAGGGTATTAGAAGGATTGCTGCTTGTGTGTCACAGAGAAGTGATGGAAGGAGGGTTATCTGGGATGGAAAGTTGTAACACTAGATGTGGATGAGTGTGGCTCAGAACATACATGGTGAACTGAAGTAGCTGGTGGATGCTTGGGGTGTGTGTGTGTATGGGGGTGTGTGTGTGTGTCTGTGTGTGTGTGTATTCCTATGTAGCTCCGTCCAGCTGGATGCAGTTATTTGCATCCATCAGCTGTTTCTTGCAGACTAAGTTGCACACAAGCAAACACATTTGTTACACTCAGATTGTTCCCTGATACATCAATCGTGGTCGAACAAGTTCACATTTTAAAAGAAGCGTTATAGCAGAACTGATTGTATTCAGATTGTAATAAATGTCATAATTTAAAAAGTGAAGAGTCATTAAAACCCCAAAGAAATGAGGTTGTGACAAAGGTGACAATAAGGTAACTATTTCTAAGTAGCTAATAATCTACTTTGCCTACGTAACTCAAGTAAATCTGGGCTCCCTTTCTCTTACCCTAAGGCACAGATTAACATAATGATAACTTTAAACAAAATACAAATTAGGCTCCATAACTTTGAAACACATGGTCAGTTCTTAGTGAAGTCTTCTCAAGGCTAGAAAGAGGTTGTTACTGCACACACCAGACTTCCTAGAAAGTCCTCGTTATATATTTTTAGCCTTAAAGTCCCACATGATATGGCAGCTGCAATAATCTTACTTCCCTCTCTTCTTCATACTTCCTTGTTCCTACTCCCCATTTCCCAGGAAACCCAACAAACAAAATTCCAGCCATTGCTGTTCTAGCTTCATCACCTTTCCTCTCTTTCCCACGTCTACATTTTTTCCAAGAGTAAAAATTCCTTACCCACGTATATTAGTTTCCTAGTGTTGCTATAACAAAGTACCACAAACTTAGTGGCTAAAAACAACACAAATTCATGCTCTTAAATTTCTAGAGGTCGAAGTCCAAAATGAGTCTTACAGAGCTAGCATCAAGGTGTTGACAGGGTGAGTTATTTCTGGAGGCTCTAGGGGAGAATCCATTTCCTGCTTTTTCCAGCTTCTAGAGGCTAACTATATTCCTTGGCTCATGGCCACGTCACTCTGACCTCTATTATCACACTGCCTTGTTTGACTCAGACCTTCCTGCCTACCTCTGATGTCCATATCCCTGTGATTACTTCCATTGAGCCAACTTGGCCCATCTCAAAATCTTTAATTTAATCATATCTGTAAAGTCTCCTTTTCCATGAGAAATAGCATATTCACAGGTTTCTAGGATTAGGATGTGGAAATCTTTGAGAACTATTATTCAGCGTAGCACACCAGGGGTGATATTCAAAATACTTAACAACTAATATGCCATTTATGGCAGGGTTCTGACTCTCAGAAAGGTCCTAAATTATAATGTTGGAGCAGGGCCCTGGAGACTCGATGTGCTGGTTGATTACCTTCAGCTGATTAATTGTAGAAGACTGGGAGGTATGAGGAAAGAACTGGAGCATCTAGGGTGGTGATAATGTGCTCTGGGGCTGGGGACCAGTGGCTATTTCTAAGTGGTACAAAAGACTTTCAACCTTTTTACGTACAGCCACACCCATGTGTTTTGAATACCGGTCTGCCCACGCTCTTCCTTCCTTGGGTCAGTTTAGTCTATCTAGGCTTCTATAAATTCTCATCCCAACCTTCAACCATGATCAGCATGTAAAGCTCTTGGGATTTTATCATGTACTGTACTTAGCCCTTTATTTGAATGTCTCATTTAAGCCTCACAATAATCCTATAAATAGATATTCTACTTATTTCTTTTTACAATAACATGCCCAGGGTCATAAGAGCTATTAAGTGTTAGGGTTTGGATTTGAACCCAAGCACTTTACTTTGAAACTGAGCTCTTAACCACTGTAGTTAAGGAGATTCAAATCTACTTAGGCAGATAAGGAAATCAAGTACAAAGACCATGCAAGGCAATGTTGAAGTGCCAAGTGGTAACTCCTAATCCATAGGTTTACACAGAACCGCTCCCCCACCCCCATAGAATTTAATTGTTATGGAAGGGATCAAAACTTCTTGATCACATTGTAAGAACTATTATCTACTCTACAAGATGAAACCTGTGTACTCTTGAGTGGATGTTTTATGATAAAAAGATTACAGTTAACCTTCAGAGCAAATCGAGTTCAAATTCCAACTTATCTTGGCTACATAAAATTCTAGAATAAAGCATAGCTTTAAGCACGCAATTATAGATGAATATATCAATGAATAAATAAAATCTATAGCCATGAGTTTTATTTGTAAGATTTGACTGATCATGGTACAGGCTTTGTTTCTGGCCTAGAATATTACTTTCAACTTTCTCAAATGGGTAAAGAGTCACAGGGACAGAAGAAGCAGAAGAGAGAAAAATGATAAAGCCATTTCTGGTCTTTGAGTCTTTGATTAACATCTGCTTGGTCTTAAATATAGTTAGAGATGTGTTGATCATACTCAGAGGAAATAATATGTATGGCAAAATGTAATACTACCTAAAAAGAAAAGAAACATTTATAGGTATTTTTGGTTTTGTTATTTGAAAATATTTTCAGATAGGCATGAGTATTAGAACTTTTCACTTGTTTAATTAAGACAGAGTGAGATCAAGAGTAGGGGGATGGATTAGCTATAAAGTCCCTTAGAATCATTTAAAATACTTATACATCAACTTGTTAAATAAAATGTTAGAAGCCAAGATTAATGTTATGTAAAGATGCTTTGGTGAAGAGTTAGAAGCAAATTCTATTTTAACTCTTGGAAATTGATAAGAACCTAAAATATTCTTGCTAATTTGAAAAATATCCCCCCATATTGAAAAGTTCCTAAAGTGTAGCCTCTCCTCCTACCTTTATGATGGAATATAGGATGATTTCAGTTATTACCACAAGAAAAAGTCCTGCAAGAAAGCCCATGTTGCCACTTTACTCATTATTGAAGTGTCTTTATGAGTGTTCGTCTTGACTGTCAGAGACAACAGGTAAGATGCTAGGGGAGGCGGATAAAAAGAGATCAAAGTGTTTTTGTTTACTTCTTTGAAGTCTTGTAGTATCTACTATTCACTGTGCACACTTCTCGATTCATGCTGAAAATTGGAATTCACCCATTTTTTCTCTTTTTCCTGTCTAAGGTGCAGATGGGGCATATTTCGTTGACTCCATCCATCCCTGCCCCCACGCATTAGCACATGCACACGTATACATAGCCAGTGGAAAAGAAAAAAGAGTTACTCACATTCATCCATTTTACAAAGATTTCCAGGCTGCAATGGGAGGGCTTTACCTCTCCCTGAAGGATGAATAAATAGGTAGCTTTAGTGACAACCTGTTCACAGTCAAACTGAAGTGAAAACGAGACCAAGGTCTTTTCTACTGTTGGCATTTATGAGATCAAGTCCTGGCAACATGGAAAGGATAGTCTTCTGCCTGATAGTCATCTTCTCTGGGACAGTGGCCCACAAATCAAGCTCCCAAGGTCAAGATCGTTTCATGATTAGGATGCGTCAACTTATAGATATTGTTGATCAGCTGAGAAATTATGTGAATGACTTGGTAAGAGCATTCTTGTCACAATAAAATTTAAATAATATATTTAACTACTACAAAAGAAGGCTTTTGACTGATAAAAATAACTCAGAACTAATTTTTTTTCCCCTCTAGGACACTGAATTTCTGCCAGCTCCACAAGATGTAAAGGTAAGAACAGTTTAACTTGTTTCTCAAAATATAATATTTGATATAAGTTTTTTAATCCAGTTAAGAAAGGCATTAACATGACTATTTAGGAAGACACTTGATTTTAATGAACGTTTTCATTATTGTTAGAATATTTCTATTTTGGTAAAATAGTCATTGATTTACCAACAAACCAATCAGTAAAATGCCACATTACATTTCTTGTAATATATATATTTATCTTCAAGTATCTTTAAGAGTACTTACAAGTAGTATTTTTGAGACAGAACAACAAAATTAGAAAATAAATCTATACTATGATCAGTTTCTGAACAAGGAACATCACAACTCATTACATTTTAAGAGCCTTTGAGCATGAATGCTCTTGAGTCCTCTTTGGGATCTCATTCACAAAAATTTAAATACATACCATAAGAAGCAGAATTCATCTTTTAATAGCAAACTAAAAAAATAAAAGAATTAGATTAAAGGAACACCATCAAGGAATGGTCATGTGGAAATCAGGAAGGAATATAATCACATATACCTTGGCTTAGTGAGTCTTGCCTCTTGACTTCTGAGAGGACCATTTTCAATAACTCATCCCATTCTCTTAAGCCATTTAGATCCATAGAAGTCCCAGGAAGATGAGGCCCAGTATATGGGTCAAGAGTGCTGTGTCTTGGTCTCTTCCCCTAGAGCTTAGATCTGGTCTTCTGATTTGGTACTCTGAGGGTATAAGTGCAATTAGGAAAATGTTTTCTTTGTCACAGACTTTCAGCTGCATAAATAAGAATAACTATAAACGTGCTACCAGTAATTAGGGTACTACAAAGGCTACATTGCAAAGAAAACAATTATTGTAAATGACTATGTGTAGAAGTTTAGAAAGTGAATGAGTCACAACTATTGCTTTTCTTTAAAACTCACTGTCTAGCTCTTGAACCTAACCACTCTGGTTTACTAGCCCTTTCCTGATAAGCAGCATCTAAAATGAAAGTAGCACATTCAGCCTATTGGAAAGACTTTTCCAATAAGTGAGAATATTTCTTAATCATTATGCCTAATTATCAAAACATTCTTTTTCAGCATCTTGTCTATCTTGTTTAACGGCTGTAGTTAGAGCTCTTGAAGTTTTCTAGTTGCAGTCTGTAACTTACAAAATAAGAAATAAGAAAGATATCTCATTGTCTAATGTGAGTGGATCCAATGGGCACTTCTTTTATATGCTTTGTTAATGGAAGGTATTTTTTTGTCTTGCATCATAATGAGAGGGTTTTGTCTCAGTGACGCTGTATCTGATAGTCTAACCAAGCAATGTTGGCTATGATACAAGACTAATGGTGTATCTAAGGTCTTTAAGATATGCTGGCAGGCAAACTCAGGAAGGAAGAACATAGTTCAAGGCCACATTATTATACAAAATTTTCAGCACTAGCATCAAAGCAGTCTGTAAGAGATTTGCAGAGGATTAAAAGTTTAATGAAAACTAAACCATTTAAGTGTTACTTTTATACGGTGATTACCTCAGATCTTTTGTTGGCCTTGTCAGGCATCTTTTCCCCTCCTTTTTTCTAATCATATAGACCAGTGGGTCTCAATTGGTGGTGCTATTACCCCCGCAGGAAATCACTGGCACTGTCTGGAGATATTTTAGGTAGTCACAACTGCAGAGTGGTGAAGGATGTGCTGCTGGCATCTAGCGGGTAGGGGCCAGGGATGCTGCTAAACATTCTACAATGCACAGGAAAGCCACCCCCCCCAACACAGCAAAGAAGTATCCAACCCCAAATGTCAACAGTGCCACTATTGAGAAACCCTGACAAAAACTTGGCTTGCATGTGGGACAAAGGTAATCTTACCCAGTTAGCAAGACTTCCTAGTGTGAATGACCAGGGCTTTTTTTGCAAAAGAAAAAAAAAAAAAAGTAAGTAGGTTAAAAATAGGCTTTAAGGAGGCAAGAATTTTCAAATGTTCAATTGCAAAAAATCAAAACCATGTGTGCCTCTTTGCAAAAACAGCACTTGACTCGCTCTCTGGCTAAAGACAGAAGTGGTTTCTTATCTTGCTTCTGACTTCCTTACTCTCCATATTCTCCAAAACCAGTGTAGGACCAGACAATTCCTTGTATTTGCATGTGTTGAAGGATGAGGGAAACCAAGTCCTTGCCCTCAGAGTCTGCAGTCACTAAGGAACAGCAAAGGAAGGCAATGGTTGTGCTCCCAGATGGTGCTAGATAGGTCTTTGTGACCAACCCTCGGTGTCAGGGCTCCTGAAGCTGACTGAATCAAGGTTAATCTCTCTGCTCCCTTTCTTGACACGTCCTTAGGCAGTTAGCAAAGACAGCTCCTCCACTTATTTCCCTTTTGATGTGCATCTAAGGCCAAATCCAGCAGATATTTGTCCTCAATCTCAGATTGCCAGGGACAGCTCTGCCTGCTTGTTGAAACAAAACAAACAAAAAACCCCACCAATTTCAGTTTGGCTATTAACACAGGTGAACAAGGAAAGGTGGATGAGATCCTACAGCCCAAGCAATACGGGCTTCAATGGCCAAATGCCATTCGGATACTTTCAGAAAGGCTTTCTCAGGGTTCAAATTTCTGATCACTGGTCTTGACCATTCCTGGCAATATTGTCTCAGGGGAGTTCAGTAGGGCCCCCGTACTTCTTTAGAATCTAATTTTCTTTCAACATAGACTTGTAAATGTTAACTCAGCAAAATGGGCCTCGGTGAGAAATGCTGGTTTCTCAGATCATCGCAGTTAGTGTTTTCAGTTTCAGCTGGAAAATTTACCTTTTTAAATATGAACATTATTTTTTCCAGTAAGTTAAGCCGGTTGTGGTCAAAAAGGAGAGAAAAGAAAAAACTTCAACAAACATGAACATGTGGTTTTCAAGGAAAAAAAAGTGCTGTAATTAACATTTATAAATCGTTTCTATTAAATAAGCATTTTGGCAAACATATGGAAAGGACACCCCCTTGCCCTTATGACAGGCAAGCTGCTCTGATATAAGGAAACCAGATAAGCTGAGTCTCAGCTTGCGGCTGTGTATGCAAAGTAAACCTGACGATTTTGTGTCTTAAAGATGCATGTTATTAATCAACATTCATATTGGGTGATAATATGGGTTGGAAAATGCAAAGCAGGTCAGATGCTATTTTCAGCTGATTGTACATGAGAAGGTTCAGGCAATATTGTTATATATGGGACTGCCCTTGGAGACGGGGAGGGATTGAGTTCCCAGTTGTATAGCAGTGGCTGCCATATACATTAGTGAAATCAAGATTTAGCAACTTTGGGGGGAAGACCGTGTCACATACACACATTTGCTAAAAGAAAATTTAACTTGGATGTAAGTTCTTAGACCAGGTTTAAAATGTTTTTAACAAGTCAGTGTAAATTTTGTTCTTCCAAGAAATTCCATTTTCTCTTCAGTTTGATTTCTAAGATTTTGGCTTATTCTGATGAGTAACTAGTTATTTGACTAAACCAAGAGGCTAATCTTTGATCCTGTTCTGTCCACGTTTCCATTCTCTGAGATATTCTTCTTCCCTCCAGGGAAACTGTCTTCCCTACCGTTGGATGGGCAAGTCTCAAATTCTATTCCTTGACTGCTTGATTCAGTCAGAGTCCTATCCTAGCTGACCTGAGTGTGTGACTAAGCTATTACAAAAGTTGTGTATGGTCTATCACAGGTGTATGGAATCTTAGATGTGGAATGTGTCATCAGTATCCTTCCAAAGGAGAGGCCTTGATCCATTTTTTTTCATTCCACAAGTATTTATTTAGCATTCAATAGCAACAAGATGCCATGCGAGGTGCTATACAGAATAAAACGCTGCACAAGACATGTTATTGAGAGCTACTCCTACGTACATTTGTAGAGAGAAACAACAAATGAACGAAAATTATTCTTAACCAGACTACAAAATAACTTACACAAAGCTGCCACCAGTCCACAGTGGATAGGTCTTATGATTCAGAACATATGTTCTTAAATCAAACTAACTCTCCTTCATGAAACGCAATGGTCTTGCCCACCACCCAGACCCTAACATGGCCCTCAGTGCAGCATTAGGAATAAAGAACACGGAAGAGCAAGCCTCTCCTCTCCCTGAGGCAGGTAAATGTCCCCTCCCCTAAGACGGAGAATTTTACACGCAGGAGCTTCCCTCTTTCATTCCAAAGATTAAATAGGAGGTGAGATGATCTGCTGAAATCAATGTGATCGAAGACACTGTAGCAGAGGTGGAAAGAGAGGATTGGGAAGGTCATCTTTACTTTCTGAATAACTTTTATTAATATATACCAATTATTTCTCTTTCAGAGACACTGTGAGCAGTCAGCTTTTTCATGTTTTCAGAAGGCTCAACTTAAGTCAGTAAATGCAAGCGACAATGCAAAGATAATCAACATGAGAATTAAACAGCTGAAGAGGAAACTACCTCCCACAAACACAGGCAAAAAGCAGAAACGCAGTCTAGTAAGATCGTCATTTGTCGTCTGTCTTGTGTGTACTTGTTAGTCATATTTACTACATTACACAGACACACAAGGACACACACACATTGGTAGCAGAAGACTCTAGTGCCTTTCTTACAGTTACACCTTATTATACATGGTGCATTTTGGGAAGTGGGGTCACCTTTTTTAAGTCCACAGACTTGAAAGTGCCCGGAAATGCGTTAGAATCTGCTAATAGTCCCTGGTAGCTGAAAGAAGTCATTATATAGATTCCCAATGTGAGGAAGTCATTAGGTGGAAAATCTGATTGTGATTTAGGAGGTAAGAAATATTGTCCTTATTGTGTAGTAAGTTACACATGACTTTTATTCTTATTAACAGGTGCTAGATCCTAGTTTTCCTGCAAGAAAAGAGAGAGCCTGTAAGAGGCCAGGATAAATCTCAAACTTTGCATCGCTCCCCTAAAGAACATTACTTCCGTGTACAAAAGCCGAGTCAGTACTGAATTTAAATGGATAGCTTCTGTTACCTGGCTGGGAATACCAGTTGTCCTTGCTTTTTGGGCCCCTGAGACTTTACTATATGTCTGTTCTTGTGCCAACTCATGAGCAATGCCAATACTCAAGAACATGAGTAATTTAAGCATTAATCAAACCAGTGGATAAACATGTATAAATTACTTCAATTTTTTTTTTTTTTTAAATCACTTCTCCTTCCTCCAAGGAATTTCACGTGATTCAAATGAAATGAAATAAAATTTGAACCACTTTATCAAAATGATTCTTATTACTTTTGAGTGCTTTGCTCAGTCTTTTCCCAGGTTGCCAGGTGGAAAATATCCCTCTAAAATTTCCTCAGAAAGAGTGGAGTTAATCAAGTCTTTGAAATCCAATATCAGAGATGCATAGAATAGTAGAGCTGGAACTAAACTTCATTTTACAGAGGAGGAAAATAAGACCTACCAAACAGGTTAAGTGCCTTGCCCCAAGTCCCACAAATAGTTAAGTGGCAGAATGACAACTAGAATTTATATTTCCTACCTGTCAGTCATGGAGTCCCGGAATAGTGCAAACTGTTAAGCTCTCGACTACTTGCCGAAAGGTTGGGGTTCGAATCCACCCACAGGCACTTTGGAAGACAGGCCTGGTGATCTGCTTCTGAAGGCCACAGCTATGGAAACCCTACTCTGCGTACATGGGGTCGCCATTAGTCAGAAGTGATTCTGCGGCGACTGACAATGACAAAAACCCTGCAGTCAAATACTCTCACCAAGACCACACTCTAGTATTTGATACACTAAATACCACGCAATATCCTGGTGTTTGGTATCTCAACAGCAATATGAATAAAGAACATAAACCAAGAAATTCACAGACAGACAGACAGACAGACAGACACACACACACACACACACACACACACACAAAAGAAAATGAAGTGGGCAATACATATATTAAAAAAAACTTTCAATTTCACTAAATGCAAGTTAAAACAAGGACATTCTATTTTTTCCCAATTAAAATGTTTACTAATACCCAGTAATGGTAAGAATGCTGTACATAAATACAAGTAAAACTGTTTTACAATGTATATCGAAAGGCTTTAAAAGTTTTATCCCTTTAATTCAGTAATTCAACTTCTAGGAACTTAGTCAAATGAAATAAGCAAAGATATACATAAAAATAATGTTCTTTGCAGCATTGTATAAAATAGTCAGAAGTTAGAAGCAATCTATGTGTCCAAAAATAGTAATAGTTTCATCCTACGTCGGAATTTAAAGCAATCATTACATATATCATATTTTTTAAGAGTATTAAAACCTAGGAAATGCTTGTGATATATGAAGTGTAAAAAAAGCAAATTACTAGCCAGAGTAAATAACAGTAATGCACAGAAAAAAATTACAGGGGGATACAGCTCAAAACATTGCAATGGTTATCTCTGGGAGTGGAATTACAAATTATTTTTTTTCCACTGCTATTCTCTTACCAATTATATGCATCTCCCAAACTTTCTTTAGTGAACATGATTTATGTCTTCAATGGGAAAAACTAAATTTAAATCGACATTTTATTAAATAGGAAAAATGTTTTAAAAAAGAATGCTACTTTTCATTGATTTTTAGACATGTCCTGCATGTGATTCTTACGAGAAAAAACCACCCAAAGAATTCTTAGAAAGACTGAAATCACTTCTCCAAAAGGTATCTAATATTATATTTTTTGATCTTCTACTTCATCTTAATCTATACCGACAGCTTCTTATTTTTAGGTTACTCACGATATACTATTTCCACAGATGATTCATCAGCATCTCTCCTAGAACCCATGGGATTATGAAGGTTCCCGAGGATCTAACTTGAAGCTGGACACTATATTATATACTCTAAAACAGTAATGAAACTCACGTCTTGGTATTCCAGATGGGGGTGTACAATATATTAGTGATGGAAAAAAACTTAGAGAAGTGTTCAAAGTCAGTATTATTTTCCCTAAATTACTATGTAATACTTATGTTCAATCCACACATTCTGTGTTTGGTCAGCTTGAAAAACTTTCTGCTCAATTAGAGTCTGATTTCCTATGTAATGGATTTTCATGACTTCTAATGTTTTTACTTTATCTTACTGTCCAACTGTGACATTCTTGGTTGAGGGCAAAGGTTAAACGTTTGAACAAAAAATACCATTTGGTAATTGATTGATTTTATGATAACCATGATCTTAATTACCACAAGGAATCATGAATGAGAGGTCTGTTATGATCATAACTTAAAAGTCAGACATGCAGGATCAAAATGAAAAGTTTAAGTTTTTTTTTTTTTTAAAGGAAACAAAAACTGAATGTTTAAAAAAATATATCTGAAGAGTTCACTTTTTATCTCAACGTGTGCAACATATGCAATACATAATTTATTTATGCACTGGGGGGTAGCTTTTCTAGATAGCTACTAAAAAGTCTTTTTATTGGGATTTATTAAAATATTTAAATACTATAGATGTGAATGTATTTATGAAATAGACTCTTTTAGTCTCTTTTTTTTTAAATGTGGGATTAGGGCATTATTTAAGAAGTGACTGTAATATTACCTTTCCCCACTGCAAGCCCCCTTATAAGCTAGCATTTTAAGCTTGTGGAAACGGTAATTAAAAGCTATAGAGGGATGTGTATCAGGGGGTCTTCTGGAACCAAATAGAGGTAAAAATGTTTTGAAGCTCTCTTCTCAAAACTGCTATAATTAGCATATGGAAGAGAGCTAAGACCAAGTGTCTGTCCGTTTGTTTGTTTCTTCTTCTTTTTAAATAAAACTTTTCCTATGAAGAAGAAATTGCAAAGCATTTTAGTACTTTGTGTCTGGATAAAGCAAATTCAATCACCTGTATAAAATCAAAATCAGGAGACAAATCAAGAGGCTAGAACTTCCGACCTAATGGAAAACACACTTTTGCATAAAAATTCCAATTTTTCAACCCTATGTAGTAAAAAGAAGCCACCTTCTCTAAGTGCCATTTCATATCAACTCCACAGTGTTTATTTAAATATGAAACTAAAAATTCTAGAAAAATAAAATTTTCACCAGAATGTTATAAGCTATTTGAGAATCTTTCCCTGTTAAACTGGCCCTGAGTGTGCCAGAGGATGTGAGATGGGAAATGCTTAATGCTCTGAGAAGAAAAATTATCTACTTAAAAGTGTTTTTAAAACAAGTAGAGATTTAATTTATAGTTCTAAAAGATATACTAAAAATAAATTTTTTTCATCAAATCTCAATGCAATGTTTTATCATCATAAACAAGGTACTGTTTTAAAATTTTAAATATGTTATTACAAAGGAATCATTTAAATGTGTGCCTAATGAAGGGGAGCACAGTTAAACTCTCTACTACTAGCCAAAAGGTCGGCAGTTCGAACCTACCCAGAGGCACCTCAGGAGACAGGCCTGGCTATCTGCTTCCAAAAGGTCACAGCCTTGAAAACCACGTGGAGCAGTTCTAGTCTGCACATGTGGGGTTGCCAGGAGTCAGAATCGACTCAACAACAGCTAACAACGACAACAATGATGGTGTGGATATAAAGCCTGCCTACGTGTTAAATGGTGCCAGCAAGATCGTTGGGATAAAAGTTGAAAGCGCGTACAAAGTTGACTTGGGAAAGATGGAGTCTGTATTTCTTATTTCTGGTACAGTGTGATTTTATATTTAGAATAATGTATTTATTTTGGTGTGTTTACTGCTAGAAATCTCTGTTGTAATCCTTTTCACTAGGGTCTCTACCTTTACAGTAAAAATAACGTAATGGGGGTGAGTTCAAAGACACAGGTAAAGATGAAATGTAAAAGATCCCACCAGAGTCCCAAAGAAAAGCTGTGCATCAGAATCATCAAGATGAAGAAGTAGGACTTGAAGCCTCATCTTCGCTGTTGTTTGTTCAAGACTTAGCCAGTTCATAAAAGGGATATAAGGAATAACCTGTAAACAGTACTGTTCACCCTATGGACCGTGATACAGTAGATCTAAATTTTGTTGGCTGTGAAATTGTGGTCAGTTTCTTAACCTTTTTGTTTTTCCATTTTTTTAGACTTAATCTGTAAAGGTTATTCTTCCTTTAGAGATTTATGTGTCTATAAACTTCTGAAGTTGTGGGTACTCTTACAGGAACATCTGCCCGTACCTTCTGAGTAAAACTTTCTGTTGAATCTGATGTTCAGTTGCTCAATATTATTTCAATAGTGTTTGTAGCAAAACCCACTGAAGAAATCAGGGAACTGTTCCTAACACACATACACACACACACACCCCAATATTGCTGTAGGTCATGGGAATTGAGGAAAAATTAATTATTATTTTTATTATTTTAGCTGACGGTATCTTTTTTGGACACTTGTATAAAATTGTAGCATTATTATTCTATATTATTGTGCTGTTGTATTTACATTTGCATCTGAGAATTTAGTTTTAATATGAACTATGTACTTTATAACTTAATTATTATTTATTACATATTTGGTTTTAAATGTTTATGTTTGTGGCTTCTTATTTAAGACCTGATCATATTAAATACTACCCAGCCAGTACAACTGTCTTTGTGATTCCCTGGAAACCGTTAATTCAATAGTCCTAGCAGAAGGTAGACATTTCTGTTAGTTTCTGGCGGCATCTAGTTCTTCGTAAGTATATGGTCAATACTGTCTTCTCTCCTTGTCCTGCTCTCACTGAAATGGAACTTTCTACTCCCTGCCCCTACCTCAAGGATATCACTTCCTCTGCAGCCCTCCCAAATGTACAGCAGGTCCAGGAAAAGTTTAAAATATCTTTTCCAATCCCCACTGCCACCATTACATGTATACTCGTGCAAAACTCCCTCCTGCTTTGAAGTTTATCTCATCTAGCTTTTCTGTCCTTTCAATTCTTGTCACTGATGGTTGTCACCCTCCTGGGCACTCCGCCGTGTTCACCGGGGACTTAGGGATGTTGTTTCCCTCGAGGCCAACTCCTGCCACCATCGTGGGGGACTTCAGTGCCCATGAGAAAGATTCCACCAACACCGCAGCCTCTCACACCCTGATGTCCTCAGTTCTAAGCACCTTCATCTTTGTATCCCATCACTGAGACCCACTCCCATGACCATGCCTCAGACGTTGTCAACTGAAACCGTTCTCTCTCTGAAATCTCTATAAATATAAAACCACCGCCTGCTAGTCTTTTAGCTCTCAAATTGTCCAACTGCTACTCTTCCTGTTCTGACAGCCCATCACAACTGCCAGGCCTTTTCCCCTCCACATTCTCTCAGTTAATCAGTTTCCTTTCTGTCTCCACTGAGACTGAATCTCTGCTCAATCCCTTGAACTACACGCCCAACAGCATCATCTCCTCCTCTGCTCATTCTTCTTGAGTACGTGTCTACAAACGCCCGACCTCACTGTGCTGTTCCTGGTCCCTTCATCCAGCTTCAGACAGTGGCTCTGGCTCCTCCCTGTGGGGGCGTCTGAAAGGCTTACTGGTATCAGTTACAGACTTTGCTCTCAGCTCTGAACACATTTGCCACGACTGTGGATAGAGACACGCAGTCCCAGCTCCCACCTACTCCAGTCCACAGGCCATCCCAGCGAAGTTCTCACCTCATTTGGAGGAGAGGGATTTGGATAGTCACAGTCAAGCTCTTTGAAAGAATAGTCTATGCATGTGTCTACATTCCGTCCCTCCTATTCATACATCAAACCACTGTAATCTGATCTGTATCCATCCTACATCCCGTGATTGCATCACTAAAATTGCTCATTCTCTGCTCTACAATGACTTCCTAGTTACCCAACTCACAAATGTGTCTAAATCCTTATCTAACTTGATCTTATCATGGCTTTTACTACTCTTGACCACGCTCTCTGAGTTTGGAGGCTGCTCTTTCTCCCGGTTCTTGTCTTACCTCTTCGACCGTACATTCTCAGTGTGAGTCGCTAGTTCCCTTTCCTTTGCCTTTCACTTAGATTTGATATTCCCAAGGATTCCGTCCTTGGCCTCCTTTTAACTTTAAACATTCTCTTTGGCGACAGCTTAATGGGACTGCATTGTTTTAAATACCCCCTATGTGATGTCAGGAGGCTGGTGGCCCAGTGGTTAAGAGTTCGGCTGCTAAACAAAAGGTTGGCAGTTCGAATCTACCAGCTGCTCCTGAGAAACCCTATGGGGCAGTTCTACTCTGTTCTATAGGGTCACTATGAGTTGGAATTGACTTGAAGGCAATGGATTTTTTTGTTTGTTTTTATATGATGTTGACCTCCAAATCTATAGCTAGATCTTTCTGCTAATTCCCAGACACATATATCCAACTTCCTCCTGGGGATTTCCATCTTTATCTCCCAGACCCTTCACCTCAACATGTCGAAATTGATCTAATCATTTTTCCCCACTTCTATAACCTTCTCTTTTTCCAGAGTTCCCTAGTCTTAATTGATGGGACCACATCCACCCAGCTTCCCAGACTCTGCCTTATTCCTCGGTCACTACAACCAGTTGGTCACTGGGCATTGCTATTTCTACCTCTTAAATGCATTCTTCCTTTTCTATTCCCTTTGCCACTGCCTTGATGCAGGCTCTCAGCTCTTGTTACAATGGTTGCAGTAAATTTTCATTGGGTTTCTAGCCACTTGTCATATTCTTTCTCCAACTCACCTCTGCATGGCCATCGGTGTGATATTTTAAAACTTAAGTCTGATCAAAACTTTCCCTTATTTGAAACCTTTCACTGGGTCTTCTTCAGAATAATGCCCAGGCATGAAGCAGTACATGTCAGATCCTTCATCAGCTCCACTCAGCTTCCCAGTCTGTCTTCATCTTGAGATTTATCTTCCAGCAAATCCAATCTATTTCTAGTTCCCCAGACACACCATGTTGCTCCGTTCTTCTGTGCCTTTGCCCTTGCAGTGCCCTCGTCGTAGAATATTACTCTTCGATTCCCTCTTAATGCCTAGAAAACCCCTCATGTACCCATCAATATTAAACTTAT